CAGCGGCTGCAGTGCTGCCTGAACACATTCTGGAGCCTGGACCTGAGCCCTAAGGAATATGCTTACCTGAAAGGAGCCATTCTCTTTAACCCTGGTGAGTGCCTAATCCTCACACACCTTTCCATCGGCAGGGAGAGAAGGCATGGCACACAATAGCATCTAGCAATGAATATCTATCTATCTGTCTATCCATTCATCCAGGGAGCGCAAATCACTTTACAAGCTGGAAGGAGTATCCCCATTTTACAGACAGGAAAACTGAGGCACAGAGCATTTTAGGGGCAAATTTTCAGAGGTGCTGAGCATCTCCAGCTCCCATTGACTTCTGGAATTCAGGCTGTAAGTGACTTTCCCCACTCAGTCACCTGCTTTAATTCATAGATCTCGGAGTCAACTATGCTGATAGGGATGGCTCATTAGGTTTGCAGTCTCTCAAATCCTAACAGGGTTGATTCAGTTCTTCATCTTTCTAAGGCAGATAAACTGAGTCCTATGCAGTTTACTGTGTGTGAAGAGGGAAGGGGATATTTTAAATAAGACTTTAAAATGGAGTTCTTGCATATCCTTCAGGGACAATAGGATGTTAAGGCATGTTTTGCTAGAGCTGGGGTTTGCCCTGGCTTCACTGATCAATATTTCGCCTCCCTTGTTGTGTTACACACTATTAAAGAACTGGTGCTCTCCACCCCAGAAGTGGCTGCATTTCAGTGGTGCTCCATGTATGAGTTAGTGAAGTACTTTAGGGTCCCTTGGAAGGTATGTATACATGCTAAGGCGGCGTGTATATTTCTCTGCCTGTGCCTGTGTGCGGTCAGTAGAAATTGATTGTGACTCGCTAGCAATAGTGCCTAGCCAGCCTTCAGCAGAGGCACATGCACGGTAAGAGTCTGGGACTGAGGCTCTGCTTCCCAAGCTAAGTCCAACTTTAATTTGTATTTCCTGTTGTTTCTCTCTCCATAGATGTCCCAGGTCTCAGGGCCTCTTTGTACATTGAGAGCCTCCAACGGGAAGCACAGAGAGCGCTCCGAGAAGTCCTAGTGCCCCTCCACTCAGAGGACAAGGGCCGCTTTGCCCGCATCTTGCTGATTGCCTCCACCTTGAGGTCCATACCTCCTGCACTTATCACCAATCTCTTCTTTCGACCGATCATTGGCAATGCAGACGTTATTGAGGTGATCACTGAAATGCTGTACGAAATAACCAGCAGGCGACTGACTCTTTCATCACACACAGCATCCTAAGAGATCAGATTCAGCAGCCACTCTCACATGCACCTCCTGAGGATTGAGTTGCGTTCCAAGGGACGGTAATGTTAATCTGGGAGTGGGGATTTAGTGGGAAAGATACTGTGGACTTGCAGACACCTGGATTTGTGTTTATATTTCACTTGGGCTCAGGCAACAGCTTGAGCGATTGAAAATCTCAGCTAAGGCACAAAACACTTAAGAATGTAACTCTTATTTAGCGTTTGTTTACAGCAGACATCAGCCCCTGTACATACTGAACTCATAAAGCCAAGTCGTTTCTGAAGTGTGTGTGATGTTACTATTTCACTGCACAGTAACGTGAAAAAAGCACGACCAATGTCCTTAAAACATTCCATACAAAATAATCCTCTGGGCTGACATTTTTCCTGGGAAATATTCAGGTCAGAGAAGCACTTATCTGAGAAAGGAGGGGATTGAAACAAGGGCTTTGAACTAAATGGAGTCTTACCGTTTTAAAGGATAAAATTGCCATAGAAAGCCTCTGTTACACACACATAACCTGATTTTTAGATGTGCTCAGCACTCACTCTGCCTGCCATGCTCAGTGGATTCTGTGGGTACTCAGCACCTTTGAAAACAGGCCTGCAATACACAACACATTGGATTAGAGCATGATCCAAATTTTGTGATTCAGGGTCAAATCTCAGCCTGTTCTGCCATTGATTTCAGTGAGGCCAGGATTTCACCCTCACAGTCTATGCATACATACGGGCCTAATTCTGCAAACTGTAGTCACGCTAAGCAGTACTGAGAGTGAATGGAATCACTGATATGAGTGCTACCAGGTATTGTGGAATCAGGCCCTTATATAGTACCTGTGTGTGTATTGTGTGACTGGTTAACTAAGTGCCTTGGAATCTTAGAGAAGTAGCCATAAAACATCTATCCCCGTTTCAAACAGACGGTATTAAAGCTAAAAGGGTTCACAGAGAGCCACATTTTGCCACCCTTACTCAAACTGAGTAGTCATGTAGAAGAAAATGGGACTACTCTGAGTAACGTACCACTTAATGTTTGTACCACTAATGTTAGGGTGGCAGAATCTAATACCTTTTGTTAATGCATGAGCTCAAGTGGCTGAGGGCTCCATTTTAGCTAAATGTTATGAAGGTGTTTGCAGTGATATTAAGAACAGGTAGGGCTGGTGATCTTATGTCCATTTGTGTAACAGTGAGTGATATTACGTAGATGGTACACACTATAGAGGAGGAGCTGTAGTGGTTGCACAAGAGCATTCTGCAGCAGAGCGTCTGCTTCCTAGACTACTGACTGGTTGCTCCCGCTCCCCCATACTAGGTGCTGATCTATACAAAGAAAACAGCCTTTGCACAGAGTTCAGACATCAGTATTTTGTGAGTGGATGTTAGTCTGTGATTTGTATATAAAATTCAGTAAATTATTTTTTTTTTAAATAAAATGTATTACATTTTGGAAAATGGTGGTTCTGTTTTGGAAACATTGGTGCATGTTGCATTTTACTGAAACTTAGAAAAGCCTGCCACAGGTTTGAGAACCCAAAGATGATTCAAATGGGATGAGGCACAGTCTCCAGAAAATGCCCTCAAAAATGCATCCTGTCTTGACAGCATTTGTCATCTTAAACTGCAAAACAAAATTAATGTTGTACATAAACATTGCTGAGGAAAGGTGTCTGATTAATAGTGATGGAGACTGAACAGGAAAATCACAGGAAGCAGAATTGCAACTTTTCCCCTATGATGCTTCCCTTCACCAACCATACCTCAGTCCCACCCTGAAGGCACTGGGCCAGGTTCTGAAGTGATACGTAAACGAGACTCCCTGACACTCACTTAGGGTGTCTCCATTAGAAAAGCTAGAGTGGCGCAGCGGCAACACTAGACTCCCTTAGGCCTGGTCTACACATAAAACTTCGATCAACCTGGTTATGTTGCACAGGATTTGAAAAATGTTGTGCCCTAAGCACTGTAGTTAGGTAGACCTAACCCCTGGTGTAGGCATGGCTATGTAGGCATGTTGACAGAAGGATTCTTCTCTCGACGTAGCTACTGCCTCTCAGAAAGATGGGTTACCTACATTGACTGAAAAAACCTTTCCCTCTACGTGGGAAGCATCTACACTACGGCGCTACAGACACACAGCTCCAGTGCCCTAACTGTGCTGCTGTAGTATAGACGTGGCCTGTATAATCTGTATACCGGGGGCCAGATTCAGAACTGATGTGGAAGAGTTGTGTTTAAGTGGGTGTTAGCCTCAGGGAGCCTTAGTTGGCGTAATATAATGTGGGTCCGGTCCCTACCCCTGCCCCCAGCATAGACACACCTCAAAATTTAGCCCCCGGGCACTAGCGGTGAAAATAAAGTTCAGGCTCCATGTCCATTCAGTCTTTGGCCTCTCTGCAGAGCCTGCTGATTAACTGGGCCAATTTGTGCCAGTGGCTTAGTGTTGTGGCCACGTTCCACTGGGAACCGAGCTGAGATCCATTAATTGATTTCACACAGTCCACACCAGTCGCCAGATGGTTATTTTATTCTTATTTTATTGAGCATGTAAGGAAGTGATGAATGTGTGAGTTATAGCATAGGTCAGTGGTTTTCAAGCTTTTTTCATTTGCAGACCCCTAAAAAATTTCAAAAGGAGGTGCAGACCGCTTTGGAAATTGTAGAGACAGTCTGCAGATGCCCAGGGGTCCATGTACCACAGGTGGAAAGCCACTGTTCTATGGTAATGACACCCTTTCACGGACCCCTTACACATGGTCTGCAGACCCCTGAGAGTCTGCAGACCACAGGTTGAAAACCACTGGCATAGGACGTAATAAACAATGTCATTACCACAGATACACCTGCTAATACAGGGCCCATTTTGTCAAAGGTCTAAAAAAGCATCAGCACCCTCTGCTATCTGTTCGCAACAGGGGTTGCCACAAGGCTCTGCTTGTAATTTCTGGGTTGCTCCCTGTTTTGAATGGTCATTTTTTCTTTGATTTCAGCTCCCAGTACTGCCAACCCCAAGCGTTCAAAAAAAATGAGTCATGACCCCGGAATCATGAGATCACCTTAAATACAAGACTTTAAAATAATCCATTTGGGTTCTTTTTATTTACCTGTTGTGTTTTTAAGCTTTAGGTTGCACCCAGGTCACGCTGCCAAGCTTTTTTCTGCAACCACGAGGGAGGTGGTGGAATCTCCTTCCTTAGATATTTTTAAGGTCAGGCTTGACAAAGCCCTGGCTGGGATGATTTAGTTGTGGATTGGTCCTGCTTTGAGCAGGGGGTTGGACTAGATGACCTCCTGAGGTCCCTTCCAACCCTGATATTCTATTTCTATGAAGGGCTAGTTGCTTTGGTTTTTGTTTTAAGAAAGCTGACAGCCTCACATGACTCCAGGAGCTGGGGCTTTAAGAAAAAACACCAATTACCATGAGTCTTGCGATAAAAATCACGAGAGTTGGAAACACTGAGGCACACGCACAGATCCTAAAATCACGGTGTTCCAGGCCCCCGGGGCTCCCATGACGATATGATGTTCATGTGCTGGGCCATGCTGGGGCACATTCCTAAAGGGAGGCTGAGGTCATACCGCTGCGCCATAGGATCACCCGGCTGTGCCACTGTTGTGACATCATCAATGTGCGGCAGGGAAATGAACCCCTATCCCTGCCCCCTTGCAACAGGATGACGTCGCCCCTTCTAGTGACGCAATCACTTAATCTCGCGAGAGGCGTGTCTGCGTCCACCCTCCCCCTCGGCGCTGCTCACGTGACCTCGGCCCAGTGGGTTGAAGATGGCGTCGCCCGGGAGCTCTGAGCCCGGCTGGGGCCCTGCCCGCTACTGCCTGGTGAGCCGCATCCCGGCCGAGCTCCGCTCCGCCCAGCTCCGCTCCTACTTCAGCCAGTTCGCCGAGGCCGGCGGCTTCCTCTGCTTCCACTACCGGCACCGGCCCGAGCGCAGCGACCCCCCGGGCCCGGCCACTTGCTGCTGCCTGGTCGCGGTGCGGCCCGGCCAGGCCCGGCGGCTGCTCCGCATGTACTCGGGCAAGCGCTGGCTGGATGCCCAGGGCGACGGGCTGCCCGGCCGCTGTGTGATCCGCAGGGTCCGAGTCTCCCCGGACGCAGGTACGGGGCGGGCGGGGAGATGGCTTGAACGGGTAATAGGGGCGGGGGGCGTTCGGGGGCGAGGAGGGGTTGCTGACCATAGCAGGGGAGTCTGTGAAGCAGTGGCTCCTACTGATGGGAGAGGAAGCTGGTACAAGTCCCCTCTCTACCTTCTTTCATTCCCACCACTCCCAGATGCATCCGATGAAGTGAGCTGTAGCTCACGAAAGCTTATGCTCAAATAAATTTGTTAGTCTCTAAGGTCCCCCAAGTCCTCCCTTTCTTTTTCCCAGAAAGTAGTTTACTTCCTAGGCTTGCAGGAGCCTTGGTGGCCTAGAGGTGGTGGGTTCAACCCTTGGGGGAAATTGTTTATGTAACCCCCTGTTTCTCCCCTCCAAATGGCCAGTGATCTTCCTTGTGAAGCTCAAGGGGTTCCACCCAGTTCTTTGTGGGTTGGAAGGATGGCATTCACAACAAAGATATCAGTGGGCGGTAAAATGGGTAGAAGTAGGACAGAGGGGTTGCTGAATTGCAGCTGCAAAATTCACCCACCCGCCAGGGGGAAAAAGTAGTCTCTCTATACTTTGTTGGGTTACATGACTTTCTGGGAGGAAGCACTTCAGGTTTGTTATGTGCAATTACAGCTAGCATGTGTTCTGGCCGCAAAGTATGAAAGCTCATCTGGCATACGAGAGCTCTGAACTATAGATACCTGGTTGGCGGTTCCAGTAGTAGAACGCTTCACAAAAGCAATTGCACCCTTCAGAGAATGATATATTGCTTATGACTTGAGTAACTGAAGACCAGAAACAACTCTGTCCTGCTGCATAAAACAATGCCACCTTGCTATTGGTATGGACTTATAAAAGCTTGAAACAAACGGCTGATGAAATTCTCAGTTAACATATTTTCATAGCTTGATTCTTAAACAAGAACAGCCCTCTGACATATCCTCTTCTGCAACTCTTTGTTAAAATCTGTATCATGGGCTCCCTTTGGTAGTCTGCCTTCTATTTCTAGCTTGGTGAAATTGCGCTCTTTGAGACGGAATCACAGATTTGATAATCTACTATTTATTTCTCTTAGGTTTGGGCGTGTTCCCATATAAAAATAAAAAGGAGCTTCATAATAAGACCCAGAGTGAAATGTTTACCCAGGCAGACTTAAAGTGGCTGCCTGAACTGAATCCTCCTGTGTTTATGCCCCATGGGAATGTGGGAACCCCTCTGAGAGTCTTTCTGGAGCTGATCAAGGCCTGCAGGCTGCCTCCCCGAGTTATTAAGAAACTGCAGCTACGATTCCCCAAGACAGGATCCTCTCGCAGGTATGGGAATGTGCCCTTTAAATATCGGGACACTGAGACTGTTGAACAAGAAGACCTGGTTTATACAGACATGGGGGAGGAGATCACAATGGAAAAGGGACCCCTGGCAAGAACTGGGATGACTCAAACTAGTGATGAGGAAGACTGGGAAGGACCAGGAAAGGAGGAAGCAGAAGAGTCTCATTCAGATGATGTAAGTGGCTTTCTCCTGTCAAATTGCAAGACTAACCATAGACACTTCTACCCCAATATAATGTGACCCAATATAACAGGGGTTCGCATACAGCACGGTAAAGCTTCAACACACTGCTCTGAGCAGTGTGTAAAAGAGGCGGGGCCAGGGCCGAGGGGTTGGATAAGGGGCAGAGGGTCTTGGGGCTGGTCAGGGGCTCCCCCCCACACCAGGGTCTGGGAGGCAGGAGCTGTGGGGGAGCACTTTTGGGGGCCCCGCAATCCCAGAGTGGCCCAGGGGATTAACAGGGGGCTGGGAGCAGCCTGCTTTGCTTTTCTTGCCCCAGCCCCAGCTGTGTCGCTTGGAGGAGGGGGCTTGGGGAAAGGGATCCTCCTCCTCCCCCGCACTCACCGGCAGCGGTGGAAGCGGAGCAGCCCGCTCCGCTCCACCAGTTGTCAGCTGTGGCGCTCCGCTTCCCGTTGCCAGTGTGTGCGGGACCTTTCTCTCCCCACCCCCCAGCGACACGGCTGGGGCCAGGGCAAGGAAAGCGGAGCAGGCTGGGGCTGCGTCACTCCGCTTCCCGCCACCGCTGAGTGCAAAGGACGTCCTTTCCCCAACCTTCCCACACTCACGGGTGGCGGGAAGCGGAAAGCCGTGCCTGGGAGGTGGTGGAGTGGAGCGGGCTGGGGCCACACTGCTCCACTTCCCGTCGCTGCTGGTGAGTGCCTGTCGGGGTGGGGTGTGTGGATAGGGGTCCGAGCAGAGAGGGGACAGGGAGCGGGGGGTTGGGTGGGGTTCTGGGGGTGATTAGGGATGGGGGTCTCTGGAGGGGGTGGTCAGGGGACAAGGAATGGGGGGGAGGGGCAAAGCAAGTTAGATAAAACAATCTCACCTATAATGCAGTGAGATTTTTTTGTCTCCCAAGGACTGCGTTATACTGGGGTAGAGATGTACCTGTAAACAGCAAGGAGGGAATGGTGCTGATATCTACCTACATAACAGTACCATACAGATAGTATCTTGTATCTGAGAATTGTATTATAAAGCATGAATATACACTAATCTGTATATGCTAAGCTCTGGCTATGAGGCTTTCGGTGCTATTTCATGTTCTCTTAGATACCAAAGCTTATTTTATCGTAACCAAGTTGTTCTCCATGGGAAGCTGATTACAGGGTGGCAGTGCAATCCTTCTGATGGGCTTGGCATAGAGTTGTGAGCACAGGATCAGGAGGCTGGAACTTTTAAACACCCACCTCCACTTTGACGCACTTGCCATGTGGCAAGTCCTCTAGCTGCATTCCTTACTCATAAAATGGTGCATGAATGGGGTTAGGGTGGAAAGAGGGAATTAAGCTCTTTCACCAGCTCTCCCAAGTAATTGACTCTGAAAAGCCTTGCTCAGTGGAGGAGTGAGGGGACTTGCACTGATAATGCCAGTGATTGGAATTTGCAGGTGATGTGCCCACAATAGAGTGCATTGACCAAAATGCCTCTGTTCTATAGAGAACATATTCAGCAGGGCAACTGGAGAGTGGGTGATATGATGGGAGCTGGGGGAGACTGGGTCTGGGCAAGTGCCCTTGCTTTATTGGTATCAACCTTCTTCCTTGTTCCTTTGCAGGATGATGATAGGTGTGAGGAGTGGGAACGACATGAGGCTCTGCATGAGGATGTAACCAATCAGGAACGCACAGAGGAGCGACTGTTTGAAGAGGAGATTGAGCTGAAGTGGGAGAAGGGAGGCTCTGGGCTGGTCTTCTACACAGATGCTCAGTACTGGCAGGAAGAGCAAGGAGGTAATATTGCTCATGGCCTCTTGGGAGGGAGGGGCATTTTGTGCACAGTAGTTATCTAAATATGAACACCTTTTATCAAGGGCTCAGTTGTATGAACCTTTACAAGTTGTCCGATAATCAAGTGTTCTGCAAAAGGATTTGATTACAAATTACAGCAATAAATCTGGAGAAGCTCTGGGTATGTTTTATAGGAATCAAGTTAGACAAACTTATAAACAGATTGGAGAGAAGTTGTAATTTGTAGGAAGGACTCCTTCCTTTTATCTGGTTGGTCATCCACATGGTCAGCAACTGGTCCACAGTACCTCACATGGAAGAGGTTGTATTTATAAATAGTTTATACGAGCCAGGCAGTCAAAGTACCCTTCAAAAGTCCCAAGTCTTTCAAGTACTCAGTAAACTTAGCGTTGGTGTGTTGATAGTCTCCAGCATGGACAAAAGCAATGCAGGTTTCCTCCCATTCAAATGTTGTTCTGCTAATGGTCATCCTCCCTGAGCTGGAGGGTGACTGCTAGGGATGAGAGGGTGGCTTGTTTTCAGTGTCCATTCAGAATTCTTGGTCTGAGATACCCACCACTGCCAGCAAGAGTGCTAGTTATTTTTTTGGATGTAAACGTATGTCCCCTGGGTCTGGGACTGAGTGCTAACTCTGATTACGTAAGCCACAGACTCGGTACTGGGGGTAACGAGACTTGGGGCTGAATTTTCAGAAGTGGGCCCAACAGGTATAACCACAAATAGTGATCGGTGAGTACTGAACCATCCCTGAGTGAACTCCTCTGTGGCTATAATCACTGCAACCCTGTTCGGGAAAACTTACCCCTCAGACACCACAAATCTGGGCTGGATTTGATCCAGTGACTGGAGACAAGGCTCATTATGCTATCACCAATCCCCCTGGCAGGTCTTTCTGTAGACCCCACAAATGTTGTATATTAACACAGACAAGGTGGGGGAGGGAGTATCTTTTATTGGACCCACCTCTGTTGGTGAGAGACAAGCTTTGGAGCTTACACAGAGCTCTTGTTCAGGTCACAAGAGCTTCTTCATACCCGATTTGAGGAAGAGCTCCAAAGCTTGTCTCTCACCAGCAGAGGTGGGTCCAATAAAAGATACTCTCTCCCCCACCTTGTGTCTCTAATCCTCAGATCAACAGGGCTACAACAACACTGCATACGGATATTAACACACTTCTTCTACTGTGCTGGGGAAAACGCTGTGCTGGATGGAGGGCTATGCCCCTGACAGAAAAGCTGCTCCCGTGACCCAGATCCTTTATCTAATTTCCACAAACTGTTTTTCTCTTGACAGACTTTGACGAACAGACTGCAGATGACTGGGATGTGGACATGAGTATCTACTACGACAAAGGTATCTGAGCTGAAATGCGCGGTCTCCCATATGTACAGGTGTTGGTGGCGGCCCAGCAGCAAGACTCATTGCACTCCCACTGGGGCTGCAGTTAAACCGAGACATGCTCAAATGTCTAGCATCTCCAGAACCAGGAATGCAGAGAAGCATGGCTGCCTCTCCACCAGGCTCCTGTGGGGCCGAAGGGATCTGAACGTTAAGTGGAGTTGGGAGCCACAGCAAGTTCAAATAGGCAGGGACCTTTGAACAGAAGTCTGTGTAGTGAGGCTGTAGTTTGGTAAGAGGGAGATATTTAATGCTTTGTATAAAGCCTCCTGTTTTACCCTCTCTGGTACAGGGATGCAGACGTTAAATCTCATAATGACTTTTCCTCATGCCACTGCCAACTATAATATTCCAAGACCTTGGCTCTGAAGATGACAGTTATAAAGGGACATAGTCAGTCAACAGTTCAGAACTGAAAAGTCTAATACTGTGTCTTATTGAGTGTCCGTAGAAGACAGGATGCTAAACCTTCCCAGATTAACACCTGAGAATATTGAAATAGGAAACTTTAAAACTCTGAGCATAATTGGCTACTTAGCAAGGCATTGTGCTTGGGACAGCCAAACTAGTGAACTGGTTTCACTCCTGTTCTCGTCAGTTTTGGTTTCTGTACTATAGAACAGTGGCTCTCAACCTTTTTAGACTACTGTACCCCTTTCAGGAGTCTGATTCGTCTTGCATACCCCCAAGTTTCCCCTCACTTAAAAATGACTTGCTTACAAAATCGGACCTAAAAATACAAAGTGTCACAGCACATTATTACTGGAAAATTGCAGACTTCCATTTTTACCATATAATTATAAAATCGATTGGAATATAAATATTGTACTTACATTTGGTGTATAGCAGCAGTTCTCAAACTTTTGTACTCATGACCCTTTTCACATAGCAAGCCTCTGAGTGTGACAACCCCCGCTTATAAATTTAAAAACACTTTTTTAAAATATATATTTAACACCATTATAAATGCTGGAGGCAAAGTAGGGTTTAGGGTGGAGGCTGACAGCTCGCAACCCCCCATGTAATAACCTGGTGACCCCCTGAGGGGTCTTGACCCCCAGTTTGAGAACCCCTGGGTGTATAGTATATAGAGCAGTGTAAACAAGTCATAGTATGAAATTTTAGCTTGTACTGACTTGCTTGTGCTCTTTATGTAGCCTGTTGTAAAACTAGGCAAATACCTAGATGAGTTGATGTACCGCTTGGAAGACCTCTGTGTATCCCCAGGGGTACGCATACCCCTGGTTGAGAGCCACTGCTATAGAATGAAGCTGTTGAGTTTCCAGCATTGCAGGTGAATGCGCCAACTTAAAACAAACGAGATTGTCTCTGAAACGCTTTAATGAAATTCTCTTGTTCAAATCTGACTTACTGTAAAACCTGCATTTGGAGCCAGGTGCCTTCCTCTCAAGATGCTGCTGTGTAGCTTGTCATTTAAAGCTAGTTTAAATGAGAAATAAGAGGTCAACATAGTTGGAACAACAACATTCCTGACTTGGCAAAGGAAGCTGCCAGAAGCTCCCCTGCTCACTGGTCTCTGGGGAAAGGACTGTAATATCACATTGTTTTCCCTTATAAGTTCTGCTGTGTCTCATGTTTGTCCTCAGATGGAGGTGATAAAGATGCCCGTGATGCAATACAGATGCGCTTGGAACAGAGACTCCGGGATGGTTTGGAGGATGGCTCTGTTTCAGGGCAACAGATTGGAACCTTTGAGAAATATACCAAGGTAACACTAGAATATGTGCTGCTCATGGTGTCTGGGCCAGAGGCAAATGATAGTTGGCCAGAGGAGGCTTGAAATGACGGAGAATTACAGGACTTGGACTAACTAGCAAACTGTTTTTTCTCTTAGGGTTGCTTTTCAAAGTTATTTATAAATCCCTGTAAAAGTGCAGGTGTCATGGAGCTGGGTTTTAGTTAGTGGCATATTGGGAAGGTTGGGGGCTTTAGAAATGCATGTAACAGCTGCAGAAGACACTTGGCCAGGATTGACTAGCCTTCTCATTAAGGCTCTGCAACAGAGGCTGTTTATGAAGCCTGATCCCTTGGTGTGTCACTGACCTCAGTGTAATAGCTTGGCCCACTCACTCCCAGAATTGATGATGGTTTACGTGGAGTGGTTTCTTCTCTTCCAGGGTATTGGTAGGAAGGTGTTGGAGAGGCAGGGCTGGATGGAGGGACGGGGTCTGGGGAGCAGCAACTCTGGAATGGCTGAAGCGTTGGACAATGAGGGTCAGCATCCCAAGTGCAAGAGAGGATTGGGGTAAGTGCTACAAACTTCTGGTGTTCTTTGCTTGTGCACAGTGCCACTCAATGGCCCCATACCAAGAGGTAAAATGTAGTAGGTAATTGACAACTAAAAGGAATGTCCCCGGGGGTTCTGCGGCAGTCTCTGTAGGCAGCATTGATGTGAGTATTGATGCAACTCATGCCATTTAGAGGTGAATGGAATATGCTTCTGTCCTTATGGTTGTGCAGCTCAAGTGAGATCAAGTCCTGAATCTTGGACCCTTGTTTTTGCTACTCAGCAGTCCTCCAGCAATACCTGGATTGTCTGTAATGGTCCCTTCAAAGCTTGAGAATCTGTTCTGGCTCTTGCTTTGTGAACGGTTTCTTTGCTCCCTTATAGCGGAGATTGAAACACATGTGGCGCGTGACCTCAATGATGCTGGTGATGGGGTGTGCACACTTTTGGAAACTAAAGTGCTGTGGCAGAGCCTACAGGGGGTGGTACCTACAGTACTTGTTTGGCAGATCCAGCGAGTGTGGAAACAATTGATCTAGGTACAGATGCTATGTGCAGACCTAGTAAACATTATTAATTGTTCTGTCTCAGCTTTGAGTTGGCCAGCTCCGGTTTTATGCCTAAACTACTTCAGATTCTCTGCACCTTCAGAGCTCTTCATGTATATATGATACAGATACTTTACAAACATGCCTCTTAACGGCCTGCAAAACGGGTATTCACTCATTTTGGAGCCATGTTAATGAAACTATACCTAGAGGTTGGTGCCAGTCAGGAACAGGACCTAGGAACTATGATTCCTAGTCCCCATGCCCTAACAATGGGCCTGGCCCCTTTATTAGTATTTGGTAAATATGGGCTAGTGTAGAGCAATTTCTCATTGCTCTCTGCCCACTCCTCTCTAGGTACCACGGAGAGAAACTGCAGACTTTCAGCAAGCCGAAAAAGCCTCGCCGGGATGGCCCCATCCTCATCTCCACAGTCTACGATGAGCCCCAGCCTGTAGACCATGGGGACCAGCTACTCCGGCGCCAGCTGCCCACTGCCATGAAGTACAGACAGGACGTGGCATTTGTCCGAGCGACTCAGAGTGCTCACCAGAGCCCCAGTGCCTCATGAGAGTTGGTGCTGAACGGAGACTTCGGGACTCCTTCACTAGAGCAACAGCAGAACCTTTGTATGAGAACAGCCTCTTCCACGCTGCTTTTCACCTGGAGCCTGACTTCTCCTGCTGTCTGACCCTAAGCAAAACGTTAACATATTTTCTGGAAGAAATAACAGACTCTTCTGTAGCATTTGCAAGTCTTCCTGTTTTAACAGTTGCTTTATTAGGAGGGGGTCCCAGTATCCCTGCCACCAGCTGAGGTGTTTGGCAGTGGGAAGGTTAACACTAATACTGTAAGCAAGGCTGTTGTGTGAAGCAGCCAGCGTTTTGTTTAGGCTCCTGCAGTGAGATGTTTTCAGATGAACTGTCTGCAAGCAGGAAAAAACCTCACTTTTCTAGGAAACTTACTACTGGTCCAGAGCATCATTCAGTCTCTGGTATTTATACTGCACTCAGATGAAAACTTACTGGGGCAAGATGACCTTTTTGGTGGCCTTCACTGTACTAAGTGCCAAAGATAAAATGAAGACTTCTATAGTAGTAGTGAGACTAGCTGTGCTTCCTCTCTGTACAGCACCTGACACTAAGTGGGTAAAAGCACAGGCTAGGATGTGCACATCAAGCTCCCTTCTCCAGTGACTAGCACTTGTGCTCTTTTTACCCACATGTATTTAACGACACACTTCTCCACTGAGAGATGCCCCACCTTCTCCCTCACGGCTTTGCACTGCAGCTAGAAGAGCTAATTAGCAGCAGTATCTGCCCTGGAAGGCTGTAGCCTGTGCCTGTTGACATGGCCAGTTTATGCCACAGCCATAGACTGTGGCTATGTGGTGAGAGGAATGCAGAGTTGAGGTTTCCGTTCTTCTTTTCCGGTTTTAGGTAAGATCAGCTCTATATTGAGGAATCTCATTACTGGCCTCTCCTGCATTGAACTAACCTACCTGTCACGTCTTAATTAGTTTAGCACAGGCTATAACTCTAGTTTCTCTTCCTTCACTCAGACATGCTTGTTAAAACAACACATGCTAAACCTTGTACCTTCTTTCCTTGTCTTGACAATCTGCTTCACCCCTAGACAACCATGGCTGAGAAGCGGCTTATGGCTTATTCTTGTAAACGAGGCTTAGAAACCACCTGCTGGAAAGAGTTTGATCTAATTATCCACTCCCACTATGGCACTGTTGCCAGCACCCAGTGCTGAGAGGCAATACAACAGCAGGGTTTGATTCGCTACCCGGTGTGCTTCACCCAATAATCACAACGGGGTGGAGAAGCGGAAAAGTTTATTTGAAGCTTCAAAAAGACTACAGGGAGAATAGAATCTCAAATCCTGCACACAGAGCAGGAAGTTACACAGGCTTTTATAAAATCCTTTCTTCAGCATACTTATCCAATAGCAAGCTGCCCTAAGTATCCATATAGCCAGCCAATCCAGTTACCTTGTTTTTTGTATCATTTGTTAAACTATACATAAAGCTGCTTTATTCAGCATTTTTCTTCCCTATCTGCCCTGTTTGGCCTTGTTTAGTTTCAGGCAGTCTGACTCTGCAACATATTGTTGCAGATCCTCAGCATAACTGCTGTGTGCGCCTCCAGGCGGGGGGGCCAAGGACACTTGGGCCTAGTATGCAGAGCTGCTGCGAGTGCCTCCAGGCAGGAGGGGGGGCCAAGGACACTTGGGCCTAGTGCAAGGGGGCTTCACCGACACGCGTGGCCTTCCATACCCTCGAGTTACCTAGTGGCCATGCCCCAGTGACCCCAACAGCACTAAAACTAGTTTAAGGATGTAGAGTAACTCCCTTTTCTCACAAACCTCTGAGAGCCTCCTCTGCTAGTAGGCCTGGTCTGTATCCTCCACAGCCTGGCTCTGGGGAATCATCCACTGAGAATAGATGGCTAGTTTCACACACAGAATGAACACACCGAAACTGATGCCTATTTATTTTTAACAATAGCTCGGCAAATTCATTTTGGGCTATACTAATCAAGGCCTGACCAAGAAGTTTAACTCTATTTTCCAGCTTTTTAAAATCTATCTGTACAGCACTTACCCCAATGGGGTCTGGGCCATGAGTGCTACTCCTAGGCCCGCTCATACAAAAACTTTAAACATGTCACACACAACTACTTATTAGGGGAGGGGCAGAGCTCCTTTCTCAAGTAAATCTCTATCATTAAAGAAGCTTCTTACAACCCTTTTATTTCTACAGGAGGGCATCTGTAAATATAAAGCTTGGTCTCTGCGTGATGTGCCCCTGGCCAGTAGTGCCTGGGTGCTGTGTGAATGCTCTCCTTGTTTCAGCTGGACCAGAGGGCCACCTTGATACCTCTTGCTCACTACTCTAGCTGTTACTTACAGGCTTAGCCCCTGTGGGGGCAAGGGCGCAGCTTCCCTGCATGAGGTGGGCTGAGGCTGGCCTTAAGGCTGCGGGTGCATGATTGTTAATGGTGTTCATAGAATATCAGTGTTGGAAGGGACCTCAGGAGGTCATCTAGTCCAACCCCCTGCTCAAAGCAGGACCAATCCCCAATTAAATCATCCCAGCCAGGGCTTTGTCAAGCCTGACCTTAAAAACCTCTAAGGAAGGAGATTCTACCACCTCCTTAGGTAACGCATTCCAGTGTTTCACCACCCTCCTAGTGAAAAAGTTTTTCCTAATAGCCAACCTAAACCTCCCCTACTGCAACTTGAGACCATTACTCCTTGTCCTGTCCTCTTCTGCCACTGAGAATAGTCTAGAACCATCCTCTCTGGAACCACCTCTCAGGTAGTTAAAAGCAGCTATCAAATCCCCCCTCATTCTTCTCTTCTGCAGACTAAACAATCCCAGTTCCCTCAGCCTCTCCTCATAAGTCATGTGTTCCAGTCCCCTAATCATTTTTGTTGCCCTTCCCTGGACTCTCTCCAATTTATCCACATCCTTCTTGAAGTGTGGGGCCCAAAACTGGACACAGTACTCCAGATGAGGCCTCACCAATGTCGAATAGAGGGGAACGATCACGTCCCTCGATCTGCTGGCTATGCCCCTACTTATACATCCCAAAATGCCATTGGCCTTCTTGGCAACAAGGGCACACTGCTGACTCATATCCAGCTTCTCGTCCACTGTCACCCCAGGTCCTTTTCCGCAGAACTGCTGCCTAGCCATTCGGTCCCTAGTCTGTAGCTGTGTATTGGGTTCTTCCATCCTAAGTGCAGGACCCTGCACTTATCCTTATTGAACCTCATCAGATTTCTTTTGGCCCAATCCTCCAATTTGTCTAGGTCCCTCTGTATCCTATCCCTGCCCTCCAGTGTATCTACCACTCCTCCCAGTTTAGTATCATCCGCAAATTTGCTGAGAGTGCAATCCACACCATCCTCCAGATCATTTATGAAGATATTGAACAAAACCGGCCCCAGGACCGACCCCTGGGGCACTCCACTTGATACCGGCTGCCAACTAGACATGGAGCCATTGATCACTAGCCGTTGAGCCCAACAATCTAGCCAGCTTTCTACCCACCTTATAGTGCATTCATCCAGCCCATACTTCCTTAACTTGCTGACAAGAATACTGTGGGAGACCGTGTCAAAAGCTTTGCTAAAGTCAAGAAACAACACGTCCACTGCTTTCCCTTCATCCACAGAGCCAGTTATCTCGTCATAGAAGGCGATTAGATTAGTCAGGCATGACCTTCCCTTGTGTTCCATGCAAGTGGGCTGCCTCTGCCTTAATGTTAAATTAATTAGCTCAGAAGGAGGGCTGTGGGCGGGGAATGGAGCCCCCCCCCTCCCGCAGCATTTAGTGTCCTGGATAAATAATTTTCGCGGGTCTCTGCCCCGCACCTGAGCCAGGGCCAGGCCTGGAAGCTAATCAACAGCGAAACCAGTGCAGTGCTTGAGCAGCGTCCGAGCAGGCTGCCTGTCACCCCCAAGGCTGTAGGGGGCGCTCTGCTGTGCTAGCTCCTACGGCGCCATTGCCATGGGGCTTTCCCGCTCTGCTTCCTTTTCCTGCCTTGCCGCCAGGGGGCGCCAATCTCCTAGCTCAGCCCTGCCCGGCGGGGGCAGCGCCTCATGAATATTCATCAGCTTAGTCCAACGAGGACGTAGCGGGCTCCCGGAACCTTCCCGCTCGCTCCCGCCCCGCCCGCCGGACCCGAGCAGCTGGGACACGCGCCGGAAGCGGCGCGACGGGCAGGAGGGGGGCCCTCGGCGGAGCCGCGGAGGTGAGGCTGCTCGCGGGGCGTCGCCCGCCCGCCGCTCCCACGGGGCCTGGCGGGGCGGAGGCCGCGCTGCCCCCGCTCCCCGCCGGCCCCCCAGCGCCTGAGGGGCGGGCCGCTCCCCCGGGACGGGCCCCGGCCCCTCCGCGACCCCCCGCCCCGCTGACGGCCACTGCACCCCCAATCCCAGAGAGACCCCCCCCGCCTCCCCGAGCCGCACTCAGCCCCCAGAGCCCGCGGTCGCAGGGTGTCTAACGTGAATCACGTGTGCGGGGCTTTGTCGTTCCCGGTATAAACGGCAGCAGTCGGCGGGGATCAGTAGCTTAGTGAGCTCGGCGTGTGATCATGTCCTAGGTGCACAGGAGGAAGGGTGACTTGTCTGTTTCAAACGCATGAACGTTTACTTGGCCAGGGGTTATGAGACCCCCCCCCTCCCCACACACACACACAGTCTCTCTCACGCTTTTTTCAGGCTGTTTTATGAACTGGCTTTAACCCTGTTGGACCCCTGGGCGCCTGCTCCGTTACACCCTCCGTCCCCCTGCCCAGCCTTCCCCAGACCCCCCTCCTCTCTCTAAGCTTCTCCAGATCTCCTAGGCATCTGCTAATATCCCTCACTCTCTGCCCCCAGTGGTCTAACCTCCCTCAGGTTCCCTCCCCAGACCTCCCTTACCCCATCTGCTCCTCCCGACCACCACCCTAGCATCTCATCCCTCTCCGTTATCCCTCAGGCCACCTCCCCAGCCATGCTCCCATCAGTGACCCCACAAAGCTGAGCCTGGCAGTGAGGAGGTGTTACAGGCTCCAGGGCCTTAAATAAATGTGCTTCCTATTGTTTCTAAGCTCTCTGCCCAGGGATTTTTCTCTTGGGTTTGATATTAATATTTTTACTAGCTTGAGAACCTGTTACAATGACTTGACTTTGTGTCCCAAAATGAGACTGACCACTGAATTATAACGTCAACCAAAAGCCATCTTCATCCAGTGGAAAATAAAATCCTCTGACTATCCAGGTGCAGGAATCCCTGTCGGATAGTAAAGGTAACCGTAATGGGTGTGTCTGAAAGTAACAGTCCTAGACAGGCTGAAAGAACTTCAAAGGCACTCAACATCTTGTCAGCAAGAATCTGAATCCGCTTCCCTTAGCGGCGTAGTCCTTTATATCGTGGTTATTTTCTGCAGCTGGTTTGGGCCAGTGGACAGACTGAGATATTGCCTACTCCACTGCCTGGAAGGGACTGGAGACTGTCCAGACAGGAAGGATAAAATGAGGCTTACTCTCCTGTCTTGGCATGGTCCCTCCATCTTGCTCAGGAGGTGAAAGGGGGGTGTTGCATGATAGGCCCCCCTAGGTCTGAGAATTACTTGGCAACTTCAGTTTTCAATGCATAATATTCCTATAAACATGAATAAAGAGCACTGTCTTAACCTTTTCCTTTTCTCTTTCTAGGAGGAGAAAGAAATGAGCTGACATGTCAGAAAACCATGCGTCTTGCCTGGCCTTTGGCCAGGCAGTGATTGGGCCACCTGGCTCGGGGAAGACCACTTACTGCTTTGGCATGCAGGAATTCATGTCCAGGATTGGGCGGAAGGTGGCTGTGGTGAATTTGGACCCAGCCAATGAAGGGACTCCTTATCAGTGTGCTGTGGATATCTCAGAGCTTATCACCCTGGCTGATGTGATGGATAATCTGAAACTGGGCCCCAACGGTGGTTTGATCTATTGCATGGAGTACCTGGAAGCCAACTTTGACTGGCTGCGGGAAAAGCTGGCTAACCTTGAGGGTCATTACTTTTTGTTTGACTGCCCGGGGCAGGTAGAACTCTGCACCCACCACGGCGCGTTGAAAAATGTCTTTGCACAGTTAGCCAAGTGGAACTTCAGGGTATGGTTTGGGTTTTATGTATAGTGATAAGATGGTTCAGCACCCGTAGCTCTCGCATGTTTGCTGAACCATGTTTAAAAGTGTTATGTCTTGCAGACAGGCCTTATGAATCTGTGGAGTGTATGTAATAATTAATAATATGCTTTTGCTGTGTATTGGTCCATTCAACCAAGTATATAAAAGCACTTTACAAAGGTAGGAAAGTATTTTGTGGGGAATGAGGCACAAAGAGGACTTGCCCAAGGCTACCCAGCAAATCAAAAGAATAGAATCCAGGGCTCTTCCTTTGCTCTACTCCTAGTGTCTTTCTACAAAGTTTTCACATTTTAACCCAGTGAACGTAGCTTGGGATAGGGAGGAATGTTTGTATGTCAGATTACTCTGGACCTGAAGGATTCTATCCCAAGAAATTCAAATGATCTTTCAAGATGTGTAACCCAGATCTCATTCAGTTAACAAAAATTATGGGGCAAATTATATTTTAATGTGCTTGATGCAAACATTTATTTTAATGCAACATTCTTGTACGTTGAAACACACAAGCCAGCAAATGCACAAGTGAAGGTTTCCATAACAAAACTGTCTTGCTTACATTACATATATCTCATACTTTGGATTACTGGCTAGACCATTAATGTATAACCGGTATACTGGACAATCAAGGAGGGTAAGGTAATTTTACTTTCAGAGTAACAGCCATGTTAGTCTGTATTCGCAAAAAGAAAAGGAGTACTTATGGCACCTTAGAGACTAACCAATTTATTTAAGCATAAACTTTCGTGAGCTACAGCTCACTTCATCGGATGCATCTGATGAAGTGAACTGTAGCTCACGAAAGCTTATGCTCAAATAAATTGGTTAGTCTTTAAGGTGCCACAAGTACTCCTTTTCTTTTTGCGTAATTTTACTTGAGAATCTTATTTAGAATCTTAACTTTTGCATTTGTGTGTGTGTTCGAATAAACATGGTGGTGCATTCACATAGTTCTTTGCATCTAATTTTTATCCTTTCTGAAAAAAGAAAAATCACTATAGAGTTGTATAGATGAGTTCTTATGCACGTCTGTAAGCTTCAGTACACTATAGATACAGGA